ACATAGAAACGTCCTTGAGACAGTTAAGAAAATAGAATACTAAAATACACAGCAGTCAATCACAGCCATGGATTTTCCTGGTGGGAATTGAAATCTCAAGGTCAACTGATCAGCCCATGCTTGCAAACGTAAAAACCAAAATAAGGCATTTATCAAGCGAATTTTGGGGATCTAACATCCCCAACAGCGAGATATTTAACTGGATGTCTTATGAATGAAAATAATGCGAAAGTTATAGTTTTTGGACAAAGAGTTAAAAGTTGCTAAATTTAGGGCATAACTTTACAAATGAAACAAAACACTTAATATCACTACTAATAGTCAAGATTCCCATCGTCAATAATAAAACAAGACATATCAACGAACAATAGTGTTGTTTTCGATTCGATCATCATCAGGCTTTACCCTAATATATATTCGAATATTTATAGGAAACTGTTACACCGGTAAAGACAGTTTTTGAGTTAATAATCACAATGAACGAGATTGTGTAACTGCAAACATAATAAACAAAAGTACGAGTCAACAGTAGGAAGAAAGGTGTGTAGTGAAGGAGAACACTAGGTAAGGGCAACCGAACTGTATTTAACGAAAATTACAGAGTAACTCAGTAAAATTCGAAAACCATATCGTAAACGGTTAATTTGCAAATCTTCAATCCATCATCAACCCATTGACTGACATTTCACTTATTCATGCATTTCATACAAATTTCATTGTATTCTTACTCTTCCTTTCTTGATCTTCCCCCATCTTCTGCTGCCAGACATTACGTTTTCACTCGCGTCATATACTACTTATAAGTAGCGTGCACCACAGGTGTACTATTGGTAATGATAAGAATAATAAAATACAATAACAAAAGTTTTCGTCAATAATTCAGCATTAGAAGTAGTAGGTCATGTGTTGATAAATAAAATATCTGTGATATTCATTTTCTAAAAGTCAAACTATCTATGTAAATATTTGTTTCCAAATGAAATAGTCTTGGGACGAAACTTTCAGAATGATTAAATTTAACATGTGATATAAATTGCTATAGTTGTTAACTTTTAATCAGAGTTATCCTTTGAGATTCAACCTGTCTACGTGCTTCATAGACTTACTTACGTCATATACTACTTATAAGTAGCTCGCACCACACTCGTCCCTCCTTTTAATAAGCTGTCATCCAGGGACCCTGGTCAGTTAATATCACCTTCCGTATTCCATGACGCGCTACAATATGCCGGATTACTACTTCGGTCATTGTTCTTGCCCGCTGGTTTGGAATGGGTACGGCATCTATCCAACGTGTGGCGTTTACTAGTTCCCGCTGCTGGGACAAGGCGGTAGGCACACTCTCGATAAATTGCGACGCGAACAACTGTGCCTCGGACTCCCTATCCATACTCGGCAGCGTACGGCGCAGCAACATCGCGAGCTCCACAGCCAGCACCAATGGATCACCATCAGCCGACAGCCTCGCCAACTGGAACCTCTGCGGCGCCTCCTCCCTGTCCACCGGGCTGTCGAACTCCGTCATCAGCCGCCCGGTTACCGTCTCCCACGCCGTCTTCACGGCGGAACCGTCCAGGCTGTCGTATACCGCCTTCGCCTTACCTGTCTGCAGCGTCCCCAGCGCCGCCAACTCCGCCCCGGGCCCCCACCAGCTCCACCGCGGCCTCAAACTCCTCCAGGCAGCTCCGCAAATCTCCGTCCTCCAACTCCTTCAGCCACGGGAGCTCCTTCCTTCGAGCAGGCAGCGACACCAAATGTAGTGAACGAGAACGCAAAAGATCGTAGGCCAACACTCTTCACCCTACTCTGTCCTGGAATTGCGTCGTTATATAGGCTAATAAGAATCAATAATTTTAAAGTATGGATGATGTGATATAAAATATCCTCTACTTTCTACTACACTATATTTCTTTGATAATTCACTTAGATGTTGAATAATATTATCATTGAGAAAGTGTTAGGATATTCATCTAATATCTTAAGAGAAGTATTTGTAAATCTAGTTTTACTGGTCAATTCCTATTGGTCTTCCTAACTATTAAAGTCACGTACTTCAATGTTGTTTCCTATTCGACCGAATTATATAAATATGCACTATCTGTAATGTTTTATGACCCGGATCCTCTCGTCTGGGATCCTTAGCGTCTTCTGGATTCGGACCTCGTACTTTCTGGATGCTTGTAGAATACAGGTTCTACTTCATATCAAGTCTTCTTATTTCTACTCAATATGGGGTTCGAGATAATAGGATTAGAGCAGCATGTTTTGTCGCCGGATCATCGATCCTCGTTCTCGTTTACTGACTAATGTAAACTCGTAATAGTTCAAGCATATCGAAATGACGTGTTTACGTGCGTGTGTAACAGAAAGATAGTACAAAAATGTTTTATAAATTATCATCAATGAATGGTCAGGTGTGAATTTATTTTGATGAATTTAACGATAGTTTTTTGTTTCATTTTAGCTCCCATGAATTGATGTAAAATTTGTGTTAGACCCTATGTGGATCATAGTTTATTTTAATTCTATTTCTCTTTATCATATAAGAAGATAAACATCATAGAAAAAAATATATTTAGTATATTCATATAGATTTATTTACTCATACTACAAACTGATTTAAGTTACATTGAGAATAGGTGAGTAGTTATTTCTTTGTCCTAGAATGAGACACTTCAACAAATGAGCGTCTATAACCTCACTAGGCATGGAACCCAGTCATTCTGTCAGCTACAACACAGAATTTCATACGTACGTTAATCAGTTTACACAGACCATACCACTTTAGTACAAACATGTAATTGTCAATTTAAATCCCATAGTAGTGGAGGTTGTAAAAGTATTAGAAGTAATCGGAGATTAGGGATGGAAGAAGTTATTCAAGAAATATAATTCAGTGAGGTAAATTTAGAAGGAGAAAGATAGAGGTGATGAGGGATTCAGAAGAGTAGGACTTCATAGAACATGAAAAATAAATGCACCTGCACCGTTGCCATGTCGTTCAAGGTCTCTAACCATCGATTATTATCATCTCGCGGACCCCAACCAGGTAGGTAGTCGACACCTGTCAACAAGGATCAGTCCAGTTGTCAGTGACTTTATTGGATTTCTGCCATGTTTTGGTCTGGCCGCCCCTAACATTCTTCCAACCTCCTCCTACTCCGCAAAACATAGCTCGACGAGGCAGTCGGTGGTTAGGCATACGCAACACATGTCCCAACCACCTCAACTGATGAAGCTTCACTGCTTCATCTATTGATCTGCCATCTTTACTTAGCACCCGTTTTCTAACAACGGTATTGCTTACTCGATAGTCCAACGATACACGAGCAATGCTTCGGAGACACCTATGATCGAAAACCAGTAACCTACGAATATCTCCTACTCTGACTGGCCATGTATCACAGCCATAAATTAGAATGGAGCGAACTGCTGCTCAGTACAGTCGTCCTTTAGTCAGAAAAAGGATATCTAGTCTACGCAATAATTGACGTAGGTTGGCAAAAGCCAGTCGAGCCTTGTGTACCCGTGCTGAGATTTCATCAGTTATCAGGCCATCAGCACTGATGAGACTTCCCAAATAAGTGAACCGTTTACACGATCGACTACTTCACTCCCTATCACTTGTTCAGGTGCCGATGCAACCCAAACTTGAGGCAAAAGTTTGCATTTCGACGGGGAAAACTGCATCCCGAATATGCTTGCTTTATTGCCTGGGGTAGTGAGGAGATACTGTATTTTCATCAGCATCTTCACCAAACAGAACTATGTCATCGGCATATTCCAAGTCAGCCGGTGGATTTCTTGGTATAACTCAGGAACTGCAGGTTTCAAGACATTCGTTTAACCTTTAAACCTGTGAACCCACATCCTACGGTTTATATGATGTAATTTCAATTAATCAGTGATGTTATGCAACCACCTCTGAGTGTCTTCAGTAGGTGTTTGTTTCACATTGGGCAAATATGTCATGTTATCTTATCAGGACAACATAAATTATCTCGTAAAATCAGTCATTAGTGAGTATATGATAGCTGTCATTATAGGGCTCTTGCAGTGACTGTTAAATGTTATTGAGATCGCGAACCAACCATGCAGCACTGGATAGCAGTTTAGTCCTAGTGTGGGAACATTAGTTCGTTACAAAATAAACACATAACCGAATGGAATTCACCTGTGTTGGATGTAGGCAGTAACTACCAAAAGACAATAGGTAAAGTTGCGCAATAACTCCAACTGATTAAAGTTAGATATTAACACCGTTGTCCGCCTGCTTAGCGGTTTAGAGGTTAAGTATTCGTGTGCGAGAACGAATATCCGGAGTTCTATTCTCGTGTGCGGCAGTCGTGGATGCGCACTGCTCAACAGTCCTATACTAGGACGAGACGGTCTTCCAGTGATTTTAGGTTTCTGATGGTGGTCTAACAATGATCAAATCATCTTTGCCATAATTCCAGATATATTTCTTTACTTACGTGATGAATAAATCATTACATATTTGGTTGTGATGGTGTAACAATCTTAGTAATAAATTATAAAACTGATTGAAATCACTATTTCATACACATTTCCTTATTTAGTGACTGAGTTGGTACTTGACACACTTGAAATCATCAATCAATCATTAATAGACCACTATTGAGAACGTGGAAGCACTGGACGGCTGTTTAGTCCTGATATGAGACTCATCAGCAGCGCGCATCCACGACTCCTGCACCCCGCAAGATTCCAACCGGGGACCTTCGGTATTGTGCACGAACATCCAACCTCTGGACCACTGAGCCGGTATCCAAGCGGTGTTAATGTCTAACTTCAAATCGAGATAATTTCCATTTAGCCAACATTTTAATAAAACAAATTTAAATTTTCTCTTTCAAATAGTCTTTTTCAATAATGCTAATATAGAAATCAAGTTGAAAGAGGTACAAAGACAATACATATATTCATCGTACAAATTGATTTTATTTTATTTTTTTAATAAAAAAAGAATTCATTCAATAGTTCAATACAAACAAAACAAACAAATGAAATTATTGTGCAACAATAAAAACCACATTTCCTATACATCTTATTCAGGCACTTAATATCATCAATGTCATTATTTTATAATGATGCCCTATCTTGTAGTTGAAAGTTGAATATTGAATGTTGAATGTCTGTTTAAAAGCAAAAATCAATTATCTTGTTTGTTTTACCAAGTACGATGTACATATTCATTCATTCCAATTTCATATGATCTATGTACTATGTATGCATTAAGAATATGTTAATTGAAAACGCAGAAGACATTGAGTCAACCAATTAGAATAATATAAATGAGCAATTGGTAGAATTATATGCTAGATGAAGGAAAATAAATAAATAAATATAAACAAGTAAATTTGAATAGTGGTAATAACAACAATTAAAAAACAAATTTAATTGTAAATGGTGGAAGGATATTTATTATAAGGCTGGATGTTTTGATTGTGGAGCTTTAATTGTTCTTCTGAACAACATTATCATCATCAGTAGTACAGACTTCAGGTGGAGAAGTGAATTATTTGAGTTTCTTCACTTATGACTGTTACGCCTGCACGTGAACACGTCAACTTGATATACGTGAACTATTGCAGGTTTACCTAGTCAGAAAACGAGAGCGAGGATCCGGCGACATGACATGCTACTCAAATCTGATCATCACAACCCCCATATTTAGTAAAAATAAGAAGACGTGATATGAAGTAGAACCTGTATTATACACGCATCCAGAAAGTACAAGGTCCGAGTCCAGAAGAGAATCAGGATCTAGGACTAGGGATTCGGGACCGAGCCCTGGTCCTCGTCGTGGTCATAAAACGTTGCAGATAATGCGTATTTATACAGTTTTGTCGAATAGGAAACAGCATCGAATTCTGTGGCATTGACAGTTAAGACGACCAATAGGAAGTAACATTTGAAGTGACATTGATAGTCGGGACAACCAATAAGAAAAAGCATTTGAAATGACATTGACAGTCCGGATGACCAATAAGAGACAACATTGAAGTATTTGACTTTGACAGTTAAAACGACCATAAATTAGACCAATAGAAATCGACCAATAGGATTTGACCAATAATTCTCTTAGGACATTGGATGACTATCCTATCAATGACTTTTAGCTTGTTCTGTTGATAAGGTTGTTCAAAAGAAAAATCAAAGTTTCACAATCAAAACATCCAGCTCAGAGAATGAAACTTGATCAGAATGATTCACCTGAACTGAAAATTTTCCTCCACCACATATTTGTTTCATGCTCAGAATGTGCAAAATGATAACGATAGATAGTCTTTTGCCGTCATAGAATGAAAACAATGATGTTAAACGTGTCCAATGCGTAATTCGTTCTGTTGAATATATATATAACATGAAGATGAACAGTATCTCTAAATCTTTACCTTGTGATATCATGTTTTATGGACAACTAATGAAAATGGAGCTTATAGATATTCTCCCGGAATTCATAAGGCTACCACCAAGTAGTTTTTTACTTAAGATTATATCAGCGTGCCTGATACAAACCGTAATTCCAACTAAGCACCATGTAAGGAATCGTTAAAATCTTCTTAGATTTTGATAAGGATTCGCAAACAGAAGATAATTCACTGTCCATGTGAACAAATGTACATGTCATTGTTTTGTCAAGTTACGAGTAAAAATAGCCTTTCCTACTTTATGTTACTCTTGTTTTGTTTTCCACTTACTAAAGCTACTTACTGCTCAGCTAAGAATTAGCTGAAAATTCATCTCATGTACTTCATATTCATTCCTTTATTAAAATTTTATCTCTTCAGATCATATTTTCAAGACTGGGATTTTATTTTTACGAGGTTGACTACTTAAATATTTACTAGTAGCTACATTTTATATGTTAAAAGGCCAAAACAACTTACCTTGTAAAATATATTATCTTTATTTGAACTAATAGTTACTTTCATTCTAGATTTCTCTTCGTCTATAGAAGTGAGCGTAAAATCAAACCTTGTCTCTAACCAATCGTCTAGGATAAAGCTGAATCTAATATTTGGTTCAACAGATAATATTTGTGCAACATATGACATAGTACCTGAAATGATCAATATAAAACGTAAGTTTTCGATGTGTAACTTTAAGTCAATCGATCTTTGTTTTAACCTAACAGTAAAATCCTATGTGAATATAATCCAAATTTGGTTAATCAGTTAGCTACATGGTTTTTCTTACTTCGTGCAATGTTTTCCTGATTATCGGTTACTGCTCATCATTGTAAACATTTTTAAACACAAAAAAGTGTGAGAAAATGAGTACAGTCAGAAAGATGAGAATAATAGTAATCAAATTATCCAAATTCTCTTCACCAAGCTTTTTAATTTGTAAGATCACATAACTTAAGCATAATTTTTTTGCTTTTATCAGTACCTACTGATTACATTATAAAGTAGCATAAATCATATAGATAAAATTTAATATGAACGTATTTAGAAGAATTATTCTTCAATAACTTGAAACAAAACTGTTATGTTAGTATATTTTTGCTTTAAACTGAACGCTTTGACTAAAAGCGGAACTCTCCATTTGATGTGGCTGCAAGTGAGTAGAGTTTTTTTTGTTGAGAAGAGGAATTGAACTTGAAAATTCAACTTCAATTCTTAATTGCTTCCACTAATATAAAAAGATATAGGCCTGGATTGGAATCGCTTGAACTTTTTCATGTCATATTAACAGAATAAACAGACTGACAGGAAACTGGAGAATAATAAAAGGTTAATAAAATAAAGGGGATAATTGAAAATTAAGGGTGAGAGAAAATTAACGTAATATGAAAAGAATAAGAAAGGATAGGAAAATTGTCACATTACTTTAGGCTTAAAGATTACCAGGGTAAATTCAAGTTTATAACAAATTGTTTCTGTACACATAAGGGGGCTTTTAATTTTCGAATAGTCAGGGCCTTCATAAACATCAAAATTCGTCCTTAAACATTTCTATACAATCTGCTGAAGGCTGTCTTGATGTCAATCTTATGCCCTGTGTTTTGCGATCGATGAACATGGTTTTCTCTTTCTCACGCTAATCGGCTCATCTGACGTTAACTGATTTTGAAGCCACTTAGGTACATGTTCCATAACCCTTATTTGATTACTCCTCCCTATGTATATGTGTCTACAGAAACATGTAAATTGATAAATGCAGTGGGATGTGATGTATATAACACGAATTCATCACATTTTTCAGATCAATTACGTCTTCTCACTGTTCTATCAAAGGACACACACTATGAAAAGCACTGAACTGCGTCACAAGACAAGCCCTCACTTCAAATCCTCAAGGCAAAAGGAAAAGAGGAAGGCCAAGGAACACATTACACCGAGAAATAGAGAAATATATGAGAAGAATAAACAAAAATTGGACAGAACTGGAAAGGGAAGCCCAGGATAGAGTTGGTTGGAGAAAACTGGTAGGCGGCCTATGCTCCATTGGGGGTAACAGGCGTAAGTAAGTAAGTAAGTACTGTTCTATCAAAATTTATGAATGGGACTAATTGTTTCAAATTCAGATTTTTCTTTTTTCTAACCAGTTCTCTTAGATATATCTATAGAGAATGATGATAATCCATGCTCCAAAACTTAGCAAACAACTTAAACATAATTCATGATCACCAAGTGAATGTATGGTTTATAGAAATATTTTACAATTTAAATGTATTTAATTTATTGAAACAAGTGTTTGAATGAGTCATTCATTCTATCTCAATCGATCAAATAATTACCACTGGATTTATTGAACAATCTTAGACAACTTCATTGAATATCTACGTAATACTAGTTACTAGTATTGAAATCAATAGAAATGTTGAGTAAGATCAAATAAGAATATTTGATATCTAAACTTGACTTATACTTGATGAAGTGAGAAGGAACTTTTAAGCGGTCAGGCAGTTCGTTTTGAAATAAATATTTCTTTCTTTCAGACTAAGCGTAGAATCTTCTCAGTTATGTTTTGTTGAACTAGAAGCAGAGAGAGGTCATTTCAATGATATGATACGTAGCCATACTAGTATTGGTATGTGTATATCCTAGGAAAGGTAAGTGAATATTGCATGCCAATAAGGCAGCAGGACTCTAGTTTATTTTGCTCATTGAATTCATTAGAAACTTGACACCGAATTCCAAATAATCGAAATGATCGTGTTTTTTGAAACTTAGTTTGCTTCATTGACCATATAATCTAACACTTAACACTGGTCTATATTTCAAAAATTTTCGAGCTAGACAGAACGTCCTGAGTTTGATTCCCACTTACCCAACTGTGTATATGTACTGTTGTTGATGAGTCAGTCCTGTACTAGGATGAAACGGTCGTTCGGTACTCCCAGGTTTCCGATGGTGATCTAGCATCAATTCGACCATAAATTTAATGAAGCTGTACAATCTCCACAACGCTAAACTGGATCTGCATGTAATTGTTGTATAGATGTTGGCAATGTCAGATCCCCAGAACTCTCTTGATAAATATCTTTATTTTGGGTTGATGTTATGGACCGATCATTTGACCTTGAGATCACATTTCCCACCAGGAAAATCCTCGGCTGTGATTGGTTACTGTGTCATTTTAGTGTGCTATATTTTTGACTGTCCCAAGGACGTCTCTATAGAGCATAACGAAACGCAATTTGAGTGCTTCTTTTCATGCTGTGCTGAGTGGGTGTTTGTAGAATACCATTTTCTACACTATATCAAGACTT